TAGATAGTATTTGTACTTTCAGGTTCAAATTAGTATTACTTATACTACAGGCACTAGGAGAGCTTGAGGTCCAAGTGACAAAATCTTCTGCTCTGAGCTGAGGTGAATCGTGAGAAACTGAATACTGCCTCCAGCAGTATGTTGACATTGAAATTTGGATTATTAATTCTTCTTTAAGACAAAGCTGAGCTGAGACCGAGGTGATTTACCTCAGCCACACTTTATTTCAACATGCTTAGCGCTGGCCCGCTATTGCCAGTTAATGCGGTAGACCACAGGCAGTATAGCAGGCTTACTCCCCATAACTCGCGTGATGGATTGCTTAGCAGGGTAACATTCAAGCCTTAATCTATGGTGAGTTCCATAGGACCTTCTGCTTTGACAGCCCCTTAGAATCAAGTCTGGCCCCCGCTTTGCCCATTTATTCAAGTCATTCGACAAGCCGTCAATTTTTCTTTGTCCGATTGCTATGCTGTATGCCGTACAGCATCGCCGTCGGAGTTTAGGCCGCCCTGCGCCGTGGCGTCGGTCTCGGGGTTGATGGCGATACCCTCACCAGCCACAAAACCCGCGGTCTCCGACGGCTTGTCACCGTCCCTACAAATTACCTATCGCAGATAAGCTGGCCCACACCACTGGACTGTCGTGATAATAAACCTGCAATTGCTACCCCCTCCTCCCACCTCCCCGTCACTGCGATTAAGCGTGCAACAATGACCCACCTCCTCGCCCTTCCGCCTGAACTCCACCTCCTAGTCTCCTCCCACCTCTCAATACCCGACCTCTCCCGCCTATCGCGCGCAAACACCTACTTGAGAACCCTCCTCACCCCCACTTTGGCCTCGAAAATCCTCACGACCCGCTCACCGACGTACGGCCGAAAACTGCTCTACTCCGCCGCGCGCCTCAACAACGTCCAGCTAATTCAGCATCTTCTCTCCGGGGGCTTACTATCGTTCGTCGGGAACGGCGCGCTTCTAAACGATGCGATATTGACGGAGCCGGACGAGACAGTGCTTGGGCTGATCAAGGCCGGCGTCGACGTCACCACCCGGTACCCGAACGGTGAGACACCGCTGTTGGTCGCGGCGGGAAGGGGTCGGGGCAGGATTGTTCAGGAATTGCTAAAGAGGGTTGGAGACGATGAAGTCAATGTCTGTGCCAGGGGCGGACTCAGGGCGGTTATGATGGCGGCATCAGGTGGGTGGGTGGGGGTAGTTGGGCTTTTGGTCAAGGATCCCAGGTGCGAGGTACGAGTTAGGGACGACATTGGGAGGGATGTTTTCTGGTATGCGGGGTTCGGGGGCTGCGCCAGCGCGCTCGAGGAGCTATTTGGCGCGAAGGGAGTGGGTGATAAGCCTAATGGAGAAGTGGTGGAAATCGGGGGAGAGATGAAGTGGGGCCCGCGTGTGCAGGCCAAAGATGGGTGGAGGAAAGGAAGGGACCCGAGTGCTGGCGCCACAGTTACAAGCGGGATGTGAGCATGCCTCGCAGGGGAGCTACGTATGTTCGTTTCTTCCACCCGGATGATGTTTATGCGTTGGTTGGCGTAGGAGGGGCGTTTATCATGTCGTCGTTTTGGGGGCCGGGCGGAGCATTGTGCATTGAGCATTCCGGAGGATTATGCATTTTTTCTAGTTTTTTGATTGCTTTTTCCGACTGTGCGGACTGATGTAGACTATACAAGTATATAATCCAAACCACCCTATAATATCCCCCATTATGCAATACCTGGAACTAGCGTAATCACCGCAAGAGCGATGTGAGCAACAATCGCAAGACCAAAAGATTTTTTCTGGCATCACATGGATTCTGTGGATTGGGTATCATATCGCAAGTCTGTCTAATTGGCCAGGTTCACCATCTAGGGAGGAAAGAAAACAGGGTAGACCCCCTTAGTTTATCAGCCCTTACCACCCTCCGGGCCGGATATCATATGATACCCCATCAGAAACAGCCTTGCACTAACGAATCTATCTCCACAAGACAACACCCCCAACCTGCAGATTCTCATGATACCATTTTCACTCCCCTCCATCTCTTTCCCCCCAAATTTGAGTACATATATTTTCCAAGAATAACATACCTCAACTACGGTGCAATGTCTAACAGCAACGTCACAATCCCGCAAACCCGGGCTTCCTGGGTTCCCAAGCTGGATCTCACCCCCCCGAGGCCAATAATTAACCGCTTAGGATGAAATATCATACAGGTATGGCGTGGTCTGAGTGGGAGTGGTGAGGGCGGAGGAGGAACAACCTCCTGGCCCAAAGTCAGGGTTTGGTTTATCGTCCTCACCCTCAAGCCCTCGTCCCTCCCCAGACACGTTCTAGGTCTAGAAAAGGACGTAGAGTGGAGGGTGTCATAAAACTAGTTGAACCTTCCTGGTTCGAAGTTTTTTGGAGAGCATTTCTTTAGTGACATGGCGCGAACCCCCGTTGGTAGAATTCATTTGGACACCGTCCCCTTTCGTTAGAACCCTTTCCGGCAGGGGCAGCAGCGTGTGAAGTTCTCCAGCTTCGGTGACCCGAGAAGATATTTCTTGGCAGCAGTCTCCCCTCACTTTGCCCTCTCCCCGAATACCACTAGCAATCAATGCGTCCAGTTCGTCCGTCTTCGGGTGTTAGTTGCCTACTAGGTGTTCGGGATTTGAGATTACTAAAATCTCAAAGGTGGTGGTAAACGCACGCAACTTATAACTCAAGTCAACAGCTAAGAGTCAGTCGGACAAAAGAACCGATGGGATATTTGAAATACCCCAAGCACGAGGCGGAGTCAGCAGGCGTCTGTCTCGGTCTGGGTGAGAAGAATAGGACCGTTGGAACCGCTTCTTGTCCAAGAGCTCTCCTCACTCGATCCATATGAGCAAACCAAAAATCTCCCAAATTCTTCCCTTGGAGGACCCATACCCCGAGCCCACCGATGGGAAGGCTAGGGTACCTTGTAGTTCATATCACTCAAGTATGGCTAACATCTAACTCTAGAGATACATCCACCGCCAGCTATTGACACCCGCCCACTCATGACCGGGGTTTTCTCCAGGGAAGCAGTCCTACCCTAAGGGTGGGCTAGGATATTCCATGGCTTCTTAGCCTGCCCAGAAGTGGCTAGAGGTTTTCTCATAGGTATGTAGATAAAAAATGGGGAAGACGACTAGCCCCATCAGAGGTTCTTCCATGATAATGTCCCGGGGTGCACAGACCCACAGGCCACAGGGATGGGATCTGCCGGATATACTGGTAACGGGGACGCAGAATGGCGGTTGGTATGATATGATATCTTGGATTACTTGCGATTCGACATTTCCAAGTTTGAGAAATTTAACTTTAAACGAGTGATTTTCCATGATAGCGAGGTGGTGAAAGAAACTCAGTCCTCGTATCCTTCCGATCATGGGGGGGGCCGCCTTAACTCAACTCAAAATAACACACTGACTACTCATACATAGGACAGACGCCATTGGAAAGAAAATGATGATAAAAATGGAAAACTCCTACAACAATTTCCCGTAGTCCTCGGTAGAAGCCGGCAGTCCTGAGGGCCATGTGCAGCCCCACTCTGTCTAGGCATCTTCCTTGCTGAGACTGCGGTCCTCGAGGGGACTGTAAATAACTGCCCCGCTAGGACCTGTTTATTAACGACGGGGTCGCCGGGGAAAGGGTAGAAATATAAGAAAGCAGACCGTTTGCCAGAAAAGAAAAGAAAAGAAAAGCAATAGCTGGTGTGTTTTCTTGCTCGACTAGTATGAAAACACAGGGTAGATATATCCCAAATAGCCACGATTTGAGATCCTTCTCCAGTGCCACATTAGCTTCTTTCTATTCGCGCCTAGAGACATCAGACGCCTGCAAAGGGGGAACGCCCGAGATTGCTTCAGATTCTCCAGCTACTAGGAATATCAATTACCGCCCTCCAAGATCTATAAACCCCCCGGTGGCTCCCAGATAACCCCCAAACAACTCATCGGGCATAATCCGGAATATTCTGATATAAATTATTAGTCTTCTTAGGTGCCTCCCAGGGGCCACCAGGGCTATAAGAGATAGTTGTGGGCATTGATAGGGGGATGCAGTGATCTAAAGACCGAAAAATATTTTGACCATCACACGAATTCCAGGGATGGAGAATCGTATATCCACTCGTCTGACTACGCCCACCACCGAGGGAGAAGGGAAGGTAGAGTAGATCTTAGTTTATTGAATCCCCACGACCTCTGGATTAGATGGTTCAACTTAAATAACCACAACTGAATTTTTACGATTTCATTCCTATAGCAGCCACCAAGGCACACTCGATCTTGAATCTTGGTTGACCCATCCAACGAGTATATTTTGTGCCATGATGGCTCCCGAGGAAGGATACGGAAGTAACCGCAATCTCTAGGTTACATGTTGGCTGTCCCAATCGATGGACCGAAAATCTGCCCACCCAGCTGCCCCTACCAATACGCTCCTCTCCTTGTGTCCAAGCACTGCAGACTTTTCCAATGATACCGTCATGAATGAAAGCGCCATGGACCCAGTAATGGAATATGCCATCAGGGTATTAAATTTTTATTTTTCCAATTTTGTAACCACACTCCTGGTTTCTTAATAATAAGCTCACACCGCAGCCCCGAAGGCCCACCAAGCACCTAACCCACCTTGAGTGAAGGACTACTCATCTAAGTACCTCCTTCAGCCCTCCCTTTTTTTTTCCCCTTTTTTTTCTTCGGAAAACAAGGGAATCCCCGGAAGAGGCAGGGTGGAGTGAATCATAGGCAAGGGCCAAACACAACGGAAAGAGTACGATAAGCTGGGCGTGGGTTTTTGTGGTGGGCTGACGAGGGCCACAGGGGAAGAAAGAAGTTTAAACCAGCGTTCTAGTGTATAATATGGATATTTCCCCTTCCATGGGTCATTGCTCTCAGTATGATATGATAAAGATAAAGCACAATTCAACATTGAGGGAGATCACTCTTGGCACACCATTTCTGACGCTCCCTTGAAGTTTGTACTTAGTGATGGGCTAACATCCATTGATTTATCCAATTCCACGCAAACTCCAGAAGCCATAATATAATAATCTACCAAACCCAAGAACTACCCGCAATCTCTCAGCCCGAATAGCCAAAACAAATAACCAATCAGATCTACAACTCCCGAGGCCAAAACACGTCTCGAAAATTCTTACTCCACCCCAAATCGTATACATTATCCATCTCACTCAGGGACTCAACCCTGCGCCATAAGAACCCGCGAGGTAACTCTGTCACATTCTCAGGGTCCCGGCGGTAGAACAGCTGTGTTGTGCGTTTTGGCCAGTGCCGGCAGAGCTCGTCTTCGTCATATTCGTCGTCTTCAGCATAGGGTGGGCTCTCGTCCGGTTCTGCTATTAGGATGTCACCATTTTTGATATCGTCTTGCCAGTCTGACCATTTTATGGTTTCGTTAGTGGTTGTGCCGGCCCATATTAGGTAGCTAATTAAGCGTTAGCAGCGATGCGTGGAGAGGGAGGAGGGGGAGGAACAGATGGTAGATTGTGAAGCCGTAACTAAGGATTCCGGTTAGTGATGCTAGGAGGAATACTGCGCCTATGTAGATTTCCTCGACTATCATTATTCCCAGGAGGTGCATGTAGATTGACCAGGGAAGACTTGACATTGGTACATTAGATGGTATGACTGCTCGGAGCATGAACACGTTTTGGAGAATATCAAAGGTGAGATAAACGCCATATGTTAAAAGGGCATCAGTTGCTCCCAAAAAGTAAATAAAGTGTCGTATGTTGAGTTGTCCGACACAATTGTTGATCCACACCTGCCACTTGTTAGCTATCAGCCAATAATCCGACAGCGGATAAATACGCAGTGATGATCGTGCTTGGCTATACAATGTTTGCCTGTGCAGAGTTAGAAAGGAAAACGCTACGGTTTGGAGGCACAAACATGTTGAGCAATGTTTCGATCTCGCGGGTTTCCGGAGGTGGCAGGTCCTACAAATTACCCCTGGACGGAAGTTCACATGGTCGTATGGATAGACCCGCAGTGCGCGCTCATGGTTTTCGGGAGTCACGAAGCCAGGATCGGAGTTGGCAGCTTGATACATGGTAATGTACGGCAGAATACCGACAATGGGGACAAAAATCCTGAAAGATGTTAGTTTTTAGGGGCTCATCAGGGACGGAAGGGGGGGAATAGCTTGTGAGTTGGTGAGAGGTATTGCCAGCCATCTTTGATAAACATGTACAATCCCCCCGAGACAAGAGTGAGGTAGAATGCCTACAAGGCACCCCCATGAGACCCCGACCGTTGCAAACATAAAGATAAAAGTTTGATACGTCGCTCACCATTATCACGGGGTGTTTTTCATTCATCAGGTAGTTCCCGATCCCAGAGACCAAAGGGCCAATGTAACCTCCCGTAAATCTTCTATCAATATAGGAAAGCCATCTCGGGAAGACGCTCCACATGAATCGGTTTATCCAACCTATAGGAGTGGATCTTGGCGCACCAATCAAGGTTAGGAGCCAAACCACCTATTCAAGCAAACTACTCGAGTACGGTATGATACGGCATCGAGGAAGGAAGGTTGGGGAAAAAGGGTAGGGCCGAAAAAGAAAGCCATAAATCCAGAATATCCGGCACCCAACCGCACAAGGAATGAAGTAAAAACTAGGAACAGGAATGTCACCTTAATCTCGGAACATGGCCAAACAGAGCAATAAAAGTAAAGAACGAAATGCCCAGAATCACCAACCCAACTTGCCGGATTGTACCCATCCCCCGGAGAATAGCGTTTCGGGGTTCGACTATTTGCGCAAGTCGGAGAGCCGAGAAGCCCCTAAACACCGATATCAATCTGCCCTTTATTAAAGGCTGTAGCTTGATGATAGTTAGGCCCACTGTTACCCGTCCTGGGTTCCAACGTTTGGTGAGGTGGAGTTTGCATACCGATGGTACCTGAAATGCCGCAAACACTTCTACGCTCTCGCTTCCCTTGTTGGAGAAGAAAACAAATACCTTAGGAAGGTCAAGATAAAGGTATAAGGCACGGAGGATGAAAATTCACTTGCGACAGCATTAGCACTTGGGGAAGTTCTGCTGTACTGGGGGGGAAAGGGAGAAAGTAAGACTTGTCACTTCTTTTTGGTGATAGAATTTAGAATGGACGGAAGTGCGGATAGGAGAAATAGCTTTTGGCACTCTGCAACCTTTCACGCGGCCTGACGTCGATGGCGGAGCCTCAACCCACCTCATCTGACGGGGCAATTGTAGGGGGGAGCCTGGATTGATTACTTAAATTATTATTAAGATAAAACGTATTATGGTCTCGACGGATAAATTTACTGTCTTGAGTCACTGTGCTCCCCAAAGGCGGTTCATTTTAGCAAAACACTGCTCGAGTACAGGTATGTACCTATGATAATATCATATCATACAGCACCGTACTCGTAAAAGAAAAGGTGCCTGAGAAGGGATAACCCGCGGTTAAGTACCGGTAACCAATAGAGACAACATATTGTTAACTTTGAGGTGGTTCTCCCCAAACCCTAAGCGGAAGTCAAGTCACGAGGATCGAGGTGATGAAGTGACCCTCCTTCCACATCAAGTCGCGTCATCCCACACATCGATCTACCGACGCGTCCCAAATTCCAACTTCCCCTCCACGTCCACTCATCGCTCGCCCCCACTACCGGTTTTCATCAACACAACCCTTCAACACCACGAACGACTAGATGGCTACGATACAGGAGGGAGATCTCTCTGCTCCTCTGTACGGTAGTCTCTTTGACGGCACCAAGTTCTGGCTCTCCTTACAAGTTCCCGCTCGCCCAAATTACAAAAAGCTCATACAGGTATGAGTACCATCTCCCAATACATGTTCGTTAGACCTCTATACTAACTAGTTCGCATGGCAAAATTTAGACGAATGGTGGTGTTCTTGTGGATAGCGAAAAGGATGCTGAAATCTGTCTGGTTGACCATTTGAAGGTGACACCACAAAACGACAAATTGTTCGTCCCGTCTTAGCCCTAACGAGATTAGAGAAATTTGACTGATGTAAACACGCTCTAGATATTCTTACGAATACATTGATGCCTGTCTCAAAGAACGCAAGCTTGTCGATCTGGAGGCTCATCTGGTCGTTGCGAAGAAAAAAAGGGCTCTGTCCGGCTCAATATCACAATCAAAAACTACGAAGCTCGGAAAATCAGGGTAAGACTTATTGGAAATCATTATATTTGTATATCCTGTTCCTAACATTCATTTCCAGACGGACTTTGTTCACCCAGGAAGATGACGATATCCTCTTCCGAGCCATTAGTGTACCAGGTGTCAGGCTGGGTGGTAACGCCGTATACCAGAAGTTAGCAGACGAAGTATGCCCCCGGTTCAATATCTATGTCAACCGTTCGCTCCGCTCATGCTTCAAACTAGTATCCACAACATACCATGCATAGTTGGCGTGGTCGATGGGTGGACCACTTCTCTAAAATTATGCCCAATGGACCTGTGGGGCAAGAATCATCCAATCCGAAGCCCGAACGCGAGTCACCTCCCATAAATAGAGATACGCTGAAAACAATACATAATAGAGAAGAGGACGGCGCCAATAGTGATAGCGAGAGCGATAGTGAACTCTTTAGCAACTTTACCAATGCTGATAAGAAATTGTTGATGGATAAGGCGGAGGAGATCAATTCATCAGACCACCCAATGAAGATATTCAAGTTACTCAGCCGACAGGTAGTTTTATTAGCCATTTCGATCTAATCCCATAATCCAGATTCAATATTGTGAACTGACACCCTGTTTTCTAGTATTCCACCCATAGTTGGCAGGAGTGGACCGCCTGCTTTTACAGCGTTATACTTCCTGAGCTCCGGAAGTCAGATAATAAGGCGAAGGTGCTCCAAGAAGAGCGAGGGGCCGCCGCATCTTTCCATAGCGCCAAGAGCTTACAGTTACAAAGCCCGATACAACTAGAATCTCGTTCAAGCGAATCGTTGAAGAAAGACGTGACGCCGCGAAACCCAGGTCCTGAAAAGGATTCGGGGTCGCCCGTCACTAGTTCTACACCTGCAAAGCGAAGATTACCAGGTAATCATGGTTTCACTGCCCCCGTCATGCTTGATTCTGAGCAGGTGGCCGCAAAACTGCCCCAATGGAGAGTAGTTATTAACCCAACTACCTCCTCATTAGCTACGCCAGGGGAAGCTTCTCTATCGGCCAAGCCTCAAACACCTCAAAATAAAAACTCCCCTCAGAAACGCAAGCACGCCGACGATGGGCAAACGCCTCAAGTCAGTCAAGCGGTGAAGAGACCGAGGAAGAGATATGCGTCCATATCAGAGGTACCATCTACCCCCGATCAATCACCTCGGCATAAACGTCAGCCATCAATTGAATTGGGTGGGCTCGTTCCAACAAGTGCGGAGAAATCTGTAGAAGACGCATCTGCGTTAGCACCGAAAGCATTGGTTGAGGTGGTCAAGACGCCTGTCAAAAAGGCCGCGGGAGAGTCCACAAAAATGGGCCAAGTCGTCAAAATATCTGAAACACCAGCCAAATCACCCAAGAGGCCAACCCCAGAAAAAAAGCCACTTTCCAAGTCAACGCCGCCCAAATCTATTCTAGCCAAGTCTCCCATGACCAAGAAGACAAGACTCTCCTACGACACTATGAGTACCCAGGCTATCTTCAGCGCCGAAATTGACGAGGGGACACTTTCAACAGAGATGAACTTCGATCCCTTATGGCCAGAAGACGATGAAGTACCCAGCAAGCCCACAATGTCCACCGCCCCCACCCACGCCAATACTCCCCAGTCCAAGGCTTCCAGAGCAAACGTATCTGAATCTGCGAGAAAAACCGTCACAGAAACGGACAAGGCTGGAATCGAGGAGATGCATCGCTACCTCGACTACTGCGAAAAGAAATTCGGTCTTTCGGCATCTGAAGTGATCCAAGCTGTAGAACGCACCTCTGGTGTCAAAGCCAACATAGAAACTCTTCTCAAGGCAATCTCAAAAGGCGAAAAACCGGCGGATATCCCGGGCATCTGGAACAAAGAGGACGACGAAGTCCTCATGGGCTCTGATAGTCGAAAGATGAAGGAGTTATCAGACCGGAAGGGCGACGCGGAGATTATGAGACGGATGAATTTCCTGAATTTGTGGAATTTGGCTTAGCTTTCCTTCCCCCCTTTAGCCTCACACTTTTCCTCGTCCTTTCAACATTGTGACCATTTCCATGCATCCCCCCTCCCTTTTCTCTTTTTCCCTTCTGTTACAAATTTTTCTTATTACTGGAGTTTGGTAGTGATGGTTTGGGCAGAAAAAATAATAATTCCTGATGTTATGATATGCTTGCTTTTCACCTCATTCTATTTCACATCATTTCCTATCCTACGACTATCGTGTTAAACTTGTTAGGTACAAGTTACTTGTGCAGCGGGAGCGCCGATCGCGGCCTTTTCTTTAAAAAAAAAAAAAGCTTTGCTGTCTCAATGCAACAACTAAGTACAAGTTAGCATAATACTACTGTACAGTACAAGTACACAGAGCTATAATAAAGCCTCCCGCCGAATGTGCAGAACTATGCCTACACTACTACACCACACAATACTTTGATCTCCCAACCATCATACGTATACTCGAGTAAACATCCATAATATGACACCACAACTCGATAGAGCGAAACACAAGCAATCCTGCACCGCGCTTGCGCTCTGCAGGACTCGAGCACAGGATGATATGATAAATTTAGTCTACCTCCCAGCTCCCCGGGCTTAGACTACAATTGATTTCTCCCTCCCTCCTGCCACACGACCCGACACATACTCGAGTACTAGTGCGCGACGAAACGCCACCAGACTTTCCAAGGCTGAAAACAAGTAGACTAAATTACCTCGCACCCCACTATCCGGAAACGTGCTGAACCAGAGAATTTTTCACGCCTCCAATTTCTCACTGAATTTCACCCACTAAACCGGAGAAGGAATCTGTATGAGAATTTGGGAGAACTTACCCCTGTCTGGACACGCTTTCCTACTACAAATGAGTCTCTTTGTGCTTGCTACTGAATGATGGGCAGCTCTTTCTCTTGAAGAACTCGGGCCTCTGGTGGGCTCAATTCCTACTCATCTGTATGAGATGAAATCCGGAGTTTTTTTTTTTTTTTTGATATTATACCCCAGTTTGGTTAATTTCCAGCTACCTTCTTTACCGGTATTTTATTGGTTCAACTCGCAAATGGAGGTCATTCTGGATATTCAGAGACTTGCTTCAAGACTAAGTTACTTGTCTCTATTTTTGTCCTAGAGCACTAGCATTCCTAGCAAAACCTCCCTAGTAATCTACAAAGTTCGCCGCTGGTTTGCCCAATATTAGTAATCTTAGCCTCCTACTATCTAACCAATGGGGACTGTGTGTTTCGGCGTTCCGCGATTTTACCTGTATTCAATGTGAATTACCAGGATAGCACTTTTGTCTGAGATCCGTAAGTGTGAATCGAGCAACATTTTATCGGCATAATACCTTTCGCCCGTTGCGATCGCTCTAGAATCTAAAGTGCAGTTCCTTTGACAACCCTCTAGCTGTTTGTATGGGGCCATGCACGGATTTCACTCTCGGGCAGTGCTGACACAGCGGAGGAGCGGAACAAGGGAGGGGTCTGTACTTGTACGAGTACTGTACTCGTACAGTACGTAGACTAATATGACAGGTGCTGAACTCGGCCGGCAGAGCTGAGCTGGGGTGGTGAACTAGAGTTGCGCTGCTGCGGAGCGCAAGGCACCAGTACTCGAGTAGAAGCTTGCCTATCGGTTGGTGGGACCAGGAGGGTGGCGGTCGGGTTAAGGTTGAGATTTTGGGTGCATTCGTTTTTTATGGTGGGCTTTGTGCTGCACTACACAGATGACGCTGACTCGAGTAACTTTACTGCAAATCTTTAGGATGCGATACTGTACGATGACTGTGCGGTTCAGGTGGTCGTGCCCTGGCTGTGGTGCTCTCCTTGTTCTATCATGGTGGTTCCGACTACGAGTACGAGTACTCGAGTGCATAGTGTACTCGCTATCTAACTTAGTCTAGTCCCATGTTCTATGCACCAACTTAACAGTATTATCCTCCATTACCGGTATCCGGCTTTTCGCCAGGACAGGGCAGTGCCAAGGTTGAGTGGTCCTGGGCATCTGAAATTAGCTCCTTTCCTCCCACAAACACTACCTTTTTTTAACCGAGTGAGTACTAGATCAAGCCTTCCTCAAGTATCACTACCGGTATCATAAATTATGCCCCAGTGAACAAGGGGTCGGTTCTGGGTCCAAAACAATTAGACAGCTGTGAATTGTGGGTGCAAATCACTTATTAGGGTCTGGTATGGTGATTAGTCTAAACAGAGCCACACACATAGCCGAATAAGAAGCAGGGAGTATTAGACCCACACACTTAATTATGATACCCGGTAACTTATTGTGCGAGTACAGTACGAGTAGACTACCTGTACGATACGAGTACTATTTCCTGCGAGAGCCATGTTCCTCACCAGACACTCACGCAATCAAGAGCAAAGTTTATTGCCTATTCAAGAACTATCTTGGCACAGTTTGTGCCCAGTAAACGCCGAGATCCCAGGATTGAATCAGGATACTTCGGAATGGGCAAGTAAAGTAAATACTTGTATGGGTATGATATTGAGTAATAGCCCTGCGGAGAGTTTTCTTCGATCATCATATTCCTTTACGATAAGGGTGTGTTGGCCGTCAATTCCATAGGGTGTGAGCTTGGCTGCCAAAACGGCTGATCTCAGACATCCAGCACCATCCAATCCAACCCTAAACAAGCTCTGTTCTTGGCAAAAAAAACCGGATATCATAGTATTGTAGGTGATACTCGAGTACGAGTACCATACCAGTAGACCCCACCACGCTGCCTGCCGATCATACGCAGCCTGGGAGGGGACCTTCATATCGCGCAATCCCAGCCCATAACAAACGTGGAAACGAAGCAGCAAGGGAAACCTAACCATCAAAAGGACTTACTTTAAGCCTCCACATGGCTGGGCTAGTTACAAGTCGTTTAGTTTGTTTTCTCAAGCATTGGTGCTGTACTTGTACTGTACTTGCCTCATGCAAAGTTACGGTACTCGTACTGGCACAATATTGTAACTGACAAGAGGGGGTAAAGAAATATATGGCAAAAAACCTGTGCGCATCTGCGGCCATACGAAATATACTCGCACTCGAGTACCCCCTCCTTGTTGTCGGGTCCTAGTACCCTTACAATACTTCTTGCCTGGGACAAGGATCTTAGTTACCAAGAGTTGGGTACCGTACTCGAGTGCTACTCGAGTACTGTACAGGTACTACCGGAAACCACACTCCCTCCCCCCCCTCCCCTCCCCATTGCTTTACCACCCATTCGCTCGCTAGCTTGCTGACTACGAGTACTAGCAGGATTGACCGCCTACCCAACACATTCCTGGGTATTTCTCGTGCGACTTCTCAGCCGTACACTGCGAGGGGGGACCATTAGCACACCGTTTGCGGGTGGGGAAAGTTTTTGACCCTCTTCTTAAATTTAACTTGTTTCGATCTTTCAGCTCTTTGGATGGAGTTCTTTGGACAGAGGTTAGATACCGGTGGACCGTAGGCGGAGTTCGAATAAACATTGTGTGAGAGTTGGAGCACCTTCTTTCTTCAAGAAGCATATTTCTGCTCCACCTGGTCTCCTTGGTCTCCTTACTCCCTTCATTTCATCTATTATCCTTCCACAACTGCGAGTTTTTTATTTCTATTTTTTCCCTTCAGGAAGACGATATACTCAATGGCGTTCAGAAAACAACCTCCCCAATGGCCGAAGGGTTGGTTGATAATTTTACGCATATTACAACTCATCTCAACAGTGGCTGTCGTTGGGATCACCGGGTTTTTCTCGTACCACTTGGTGAGGGAAGATCTAGGAGTTCCATACGAATTCATCGCTTTAGACGCGATAGTACCTCCCCCCCCCCCTCCCCTCCTCCACTCCCCGCTAACCACCTCCTCCCCTCTCCATAGGGCGTCCTAACAATCCTAAACATCCTCCTAAGCTTTACCCTCCTCTCCTGCCGCACCCTCCCACCAACACTGGTCCTAATAACCGACATCCTCCTCGCCCTCCTCTGGGGCGTCGCGTTTGTCTTCCTGGCGCGCGCCATGGGGAGCAAAACGGTGGGCGAGTGCTCTAGGGAAAGCTACGGGGACTACACCGTCATCTGCCACCTTTACAAGATTCTCTTCGCCTTCTCATTGCTGGGTTGCGTATTGCATTTGGGCACTTGCTGGCTCGCGTTCCGTGTTGGGAGGAAGGGGTCTAGTAGGCATGCGTATACGCCCGCCGGGGATGGTGCGGGGATTGGACTCATGGGGTTGAGCGGGAGTCCTGGGTATAAGCCTGTTGATGGAGGAGCGGCCGGGGCGGGGATGATGCCACCGTCGGTGTATAAAACGGAGGGAGGTAGCGCGTATGGGAGTGGAGGGATGGGGGAGAACGCAACTTATTATGGGGCTTGAGTGTATCGTAGCGGCAGGAAGGATGTTGCGATGCAACGGGTGGGATAATGATGATTCTCCCCCCCCACCTTTTTTTCTTTTTTTCTTTTCATTCCCTATTTCCACCACTGTCGTTGACTGTACCGGTATTTGATTAACCCCCTCCCCCTATAAGAATCAAAAAATTTTAAATTTTTAAAAAATGGTCAAACGCAAGTGTTCAGAAAGGTGAATGGAGAAATTCAATGGGTGATTTGTGCATCAATTTTAGTTATACTACAGGTAAGAGGCTACTATGATCAACAATTCAAACGAGGACGGATATACGACTCTTGTATATGAGTGTCCTCAAGTTTTGACGTCGACCCGGTAGTTCAAAATCTTGCGTCTTGTTAATATTCGTGTTCGTGTAACGATGATCGACACAGTACCTGTACGAGTACAGTACAGTACTCGAGTACAGAATACCAAAACCATAATATTATATACTCTCGAACGTCATAGAAATCCGCCAGAGAACTAAATTCCCCAACTAATCAACAATTACAACTGCCACTACCTGTGCACTAATACAAATTATCAGGCACCCCCGCTCTCAGTCCCTCGCTGAGGGTAACGTGGTAGGGAACGAAGAGAGAAGAAAGAAGGAAAACACCCATGAAAACGAGAGGACCAGCGGAATGGAAAAAAATAAAATAAAAGACCACACAACCTCAGGCGTTTGGCCGATAATTCCACTGCAAAGAAAAGAAAGGGGGGGAAAAAAAGCGGAGACACCCCGGTTTTTTTTTTTTCGTTCCACGACTACCGGGATGCTGATGACGATGACGGTGATGATGGGGGGGGGAAGACAAAACGCCCCCCAGCACCACCAATATTTCCCCCTCCCTTTAGAAAAATAAAATAAAATAAAAAATGAGAATGTACAAGACGTCAATGCTGTATGAGTCTGTCTGTAATAGCTTAAGTATATGTAGTAAGTATGATACTGTATGATACGAATCCCCTGCCCAACATTAGTTTATGCCATCCATCCATCCACCCGCCCATCCACCTTTCCATCCACACCCGTCCACGTCCGACCGGGGTGGGGCAGAGAGTTCTCAACCCGCTTGGTAGAAGTAATAATCATAATAACTCAATAGACTCCAATTTGAAGATCTCGCCGCGGCGCGCCTATCCTTCTCTCTTTCTACCGCCTCGTACGATGGTGGTGGGGGTGACTGGCTCAAATCCCTAGATAAGGAAGAGCCGGCCACCCCAAATTCCTATAAGGGATGGGTTTCGAAGTTTGCTCTCACAGGTGTATACACTCGCGGAGCGTAAGGTGCATCTGGCTGACTTGGGAACGGGAAGTCGGCAGAGAATGATGGGTTTTGGGGCGCCATGAGTGCGGTTGGTAGGGAGGATATTGGTGGCGGTGGTGAGAGAGGAATTTGTGCAGTCTGTGGCCCTGGCGGTGGGGATGGTCCGGGAGGGACCAATGGTGGGCCAAGTCGTGGTGGGGGATCCCGAAGCCGCGGTGGAGCGGTGGGCATTGGCGGTGGGGGCGATGGTGAGCGGTTATCCATCGAGAATACTTCCGAAGGTCGAGCACCATCCCCGAAGGATGAGGTTGAGGACAGACGCCTGTGGTAAGCTCTTGTGATCGGGGTTTCAGCCTCAAGGTGTGAACGCCTGTCTCGAAAGGACTTCGGGTTGTAATATCCCGCTTTCTTCTTGTCACTGTGGATCCTCGCCCAGACAACAGCTATCACTATTATTATTATAAGTCCTGCGACACCAGCACCGGATGCAGCAAATATTAGGCCGAGGTCGGGAATCTTTCCGAGGTTGAAACTGCCGCCGCCGCCACCACCGCTTAGGATTCCGCCCACGGAGGGGGATTCTGTTGGTTCGGCTGTCTCGGTGGGGATAGACTCAACTTTAGGCGTTTCCTTTGTGGCAGATGATGAGATAGAGGCAGGAGCGGTGGCTCCCGCCGTTGCAGCAGCAGATGTTAGAGCGCCTGTAGACGCAGCTTTCTTAGGAGCAGTGGTAGTAGGAATTTCAGCACTCGTCTGAGTACCTGCTGCCGCACTGCCAAACGTCGATCCAGGAACAGTCATGTCAAACGGTGGACTGTACTCAAATTTTCCAGTGGCATCGTCTACGATCTTGAGTCCATACTTGTTACCGGCACCCATCGTTGCCGAATCTTCAAAGGTCTTTGGGACATTCCAAACAAATGATCCCGAATTGTCAACCCTGGCTAAGACTTGTTAGACTTCACATCACTAAAGGGGTATCCAATCCGGTCAAAGATTTCACTGACCCACGATAGGACCAAGATCATTCAGATTATCCGGAGGACCCTTCAATGCGTGTATTGTGACGGTTCCCGGGGTACTTGGCTGTAGTAGATCAGTAAGCCAACTCGAAGAACAGAGCGGATTCGGGAGACGGCAATCTACATACCTGCCATGTTATCGTCACCGGGCTCCCCGCATTCACATTCCCACCTAGGGGGTAGCTAATCGGGTTCAAACCACTCGGCTTATCGTCGGCCGCCGCCTCAACCCCAACACCGATTGAAAGGATAGCAATCACTGCCGCGAGAAAGGACACAGTCCCGAGCTTCATGCTCGGGGTGTCAATTGATTATTATATCAACGAACGAGCGAGACAATTGCGAAAGAACGAACTAATCCCAGCCAAAAAACGGGGTTCACAGAGAAACACAAGATTGAAATCAATGAACGATCGTGAGAAATGCATGCGTTTCACCCTTTCCAGAAGAGAGCAAGAGAGAAAGGCCGTTTGCTTCTTCCTCTCTGAATTAACAAAGGACGCGCCTCGCCTCAATTGTCCTCCAGAGATACGATAATAATAAAAATCAAAAGAGTGAAGAAGATGCCGATGACGAAGGGAACATCTCTTTCTGCGTTCGAAACAGAACGCGGTGGTCTCTCTTCCCCAGCGCAATGACCTTAGATTTCATAGAGGGAGCTGAAAGGGTCCAAACTCTAGGCAGTGCGGTTTAATACCGGTATTCAGTCTAGGAAATGCAGGCACAACGCGAAAGCTAATTTGGCGCAAGCCGTGGTTTCTACGAGTAGAGATGGCTTTCCAATTGTGTCTACATCCTTCTCTGCTGCTGCGGTAACCGATCCAATCACGGATCCCGCCCTAATCTGCAACCGGCACCCCAATAACTCCCATGCCACAAAAAGGGTTACAGCCGTTGTTACACCCCCTTTTGTTCGAACTGCCATGAGGATGAACTTGATTGATTCCCCCCTGTCGATCATCCAGGGTGAACTTCTCCTATGAGACAGAGAGAATCGCTGGCTGATTTATCATTCAATGCACACAGATACGAGTACTAGAGGCACTGCCATAAATTCCTGATATCTTAACCGGTGGATTATAAGAGAGTAATCCCCTACCTCATGTAATCCTTACCCAGGCAACGGGAAGATTGGAAAGAGATGATATTTTGCAGCACTGTCCAGATTTGCATGCATTGCTTGGCAAAGATTGGGTAAGAGTGTTGCCCTTTCTCCTTGGTTATGGCAATACTCGAGTAGACCAATATGACCCGCTGAATGAGAAGGTCCACATCACAATAGCAGGTTGCTGAGATGTTCACACCGATACTATGCAGATATAGTATGTGCGAGATGTATCACCCTTGCCCGTGAATATATCGGTAACCTCACATCCCCACAACCTGGGAAAGAGGGTAGAACATCATAACCAACTCTCTCCAAAAAGAGTTAGTATCTCTTAACTAGAGCTGACATCCAAGTGACAATTCTCTTTCGTCCGCACGACATTTGATGAAATCTTCACGGTTCAAGAAGTATTATGCTCTTCTCGAAGCTGTTATCGTGCCGGAAACTGTAGCAAACAGGAAGTTGGCGCAATTTATCCATTTTAGGCTTGACAGAAGAGTGTCATGCGGGGTCATGATGAGCTCACATTCCTCATCCTTTGGCTATGTGACACTAGACCAGTGCTTGATGTACTGTACCTGTACTCGAGTACTTGCATGCCGGGAGGGAGTGTATGTGAGGGCCTTTATTTTGGTGTGTAGTGACAGGCCAGCACATTGTCCGAATACAGTATGAAGAAAAAGGATAAGAAAGGTGAGAACTAAATGAAAAGGAAACCATAAACACAGAATTGCTTGAGAATTCTTTGCTACTTGTGGAGTGGATGCCTGTGGCCCCATTCTCTACTGGCTCTTGGTACTAGTAAAAGTGGGGGGGAAACTGCGGATTACCGGTATTCAAGATTCCCCAATGGCATTGAGAGCCCCTTTTCTTCCTCCTAGTGCCATGGTCGTAACGGGCACAAAATGTGCTATGCTGTGTCACCCTACCACCCAACGTGCCCAGATTTGCGACTACGCCGCCTCCACAGTACTGTACTCGTACAGTATCATACTCGTACAGGTAATTGTGGGGCTATCAACAAATCCCGTGAGATCAAAGTCAGTATGTTTAATTTCTCAAGACGTGACTACTGCTGTTCCATCCAGCGCTCTTCCAGCTCAGAGGATCCAACTAGGTTATGCGGTGTACACTGGAACCTCTGTGAAAGTGCACACACAGCAATTTCGGAGTCTGCGAGTATTATTTGGTAGTCCATATAGTACACGTATCACGGTTTCTTTTCTATGGGTGGTAAAATATCTCCTCCACTCTCCCTTTCTCACTCCCAGCAGGCCCAGTTCCTGACAGGGAAAGGGTTGTGCCAAAACTAGTACATTACTCGAGCACACCGATAGTTCGGATATTCCTATAGTAGCCCCGGCGCGATCCGCACTACAGAGGCAGAAATAATATTCGGCGGGGCGTAGATAAAGCTAAACGAGTGATGATTAATAAACACTCAGAGATTTTTGTACTCATGCTGTGGGGAATTTTTCCCACTGCTAGGTTATCTCCGTTATATATCCTCGTACTTATAAGTAGACTCCGTGCCAATACCGTAGGAGAAGGCAATGGGAAATATGACACCCCTCACACTTATTTTGTGTATCATATTTGCACTCGAGTACCTTCACCCCTATTTGTGCCCCGCGTTCTATTCTTGGGGATCCGAACCTGGAATGATGGCGATTCTTTTGAAAGTTTTCCTTCGCCATGTGGCTTCTTACCGTACCGGTACCCTTGCTGAGCTTCCTTCGATTTTACGAGCAGAGTCAGGTGGGCATGTCTTCTGCCGGGCTCTTTCGCGCTCAGATTAACCTGGGTAGGCGCTTCCCGGGGCTGCTGATAGGGTCCAATCATTTGGATTATCCAAGACTCTACGCTTTCAGTCCCCGGCCAGGGCTTCCCACAAGTATGGACATGAGACTGAAAGCATTCTCTGGGGTGTTGCTTTACCCTTGGGATTGAGATGCAGGTATGATACAACGATGTAAACTCATAATGCTAGTGCGTGATGGATAGGTGGAAGGCGATGCATTACGGGGGGCGTGGGCGATTCGGATGGTATGGTAGTCTAATGGACCCAAGTTTTGCTTCCCTGTGACTGCCGATTCCCTCGCTTCCGATATTGACCCCCGAGTTACCCCCATTCCCCCCTTTTTTATCCCTTATCCTTATGATACCTATGATATCATACGGTACTCGAGTATAGGGTTGTCGAGAAAACCGGTCTGATAATACTGAGGATTTCGCGACGTTTGAACATCGTGGATTTAGATATTTTTCTTTCATTGCCGCTGGTGTTTGCCCTAGGGTGAAGTGTATAGACCCAAGCCGTGGAGCGTCTGGTGCTCGGTTTTGATCTGCTATCGTAGCAATTGTTTAGGGCCTGTTTGGTAAAGTCAGGACCGTTCCGTTCGAGGACCCTTCCCCATACAAGATGTCCGTTTCAAAACGGAAGGAAACTGAAAGACAAGCTTTTTTTTTTGTATGGGGAACTGTCACCGAACAGAACGGTCCAGGCAATGCTAAACAGGCCCTTAAACTAATGTATTTTTACGATGGGTTGAATCGACGGTAAGTTAGATGGGAATTTTAATTTGGATACTGTGCACTCTTTATCAGCTGAGCTGTGATTCAATTACAGTACGATACAGGGGATACTTTCCGGTGATACCTGCGATAGTTTGCCGAATAGACTAAAGTTTCCTAGGGCCACTACGAGAAGTACCTCGGGATAGCTTGGTTTAGTCCTTTTGCGAGTGCGTTACTATCTGTTTCACCTTCTTGTCAGTAGAGCGGTTTTAAGTGGGCTACTCCTCTTTATGGAAGAGATTCATTTTGGGACTAAAAGCCCCTACGGGTAGGATCTATGCGCCGTGTTTCCTGAAGGTCCATCAGAAATCTCGAGTTGCTCAGGAAAGGTTGTGAGGGGCCCAGTCGCCCGACTGTGGGGCACATTATTACCAATTGCATTGACAGCTTTCATGACGCGGACAGTAGGTCTCTTTCCTGTATTTATGGTCCCCTTTTTACCACTGCAATCACGAAGGAAGAACGTCCCTCTGAGCGCCTTACTGAGGAGGTCTCCCCCACTACCGATACCGATATTAATCCATAGTGTTTGTCACATGGTAGCTCATTGCTCGCTTTAAAAGATGGTATCGCAAGAGAGGGAACCCTTGGTTGCTCGTTTTAAGTTGGTGGCTAACGTACCAGGGGTGATGTCAGGATCCTCTTAACGGGTGCGAATTGGGAGCCAAGGCTCAACTCACAGTGGTCGCATAAAGGCCCTAGAAGTACTAGTATTGGTTTCAGTCTTCTTCAGAGTGGGAGTGACAGTGGGTGCTGATTCCTTACTAGCAAAGTCCTCGAGTTCGCATTGTGTTGGTGGTATATATCCCCGGACAACCGATCCATGGGTGGCATCGAGGAAAAAGCGCAGGCGCTCGGTGTTCAGGACTTTGCCGCATAGTCTGGTGAAGCTCCTAGACTTGTTTTCACGCCAGACGGTCAAAAGAAAGTATGGCTCGACACGCGAGCTCATGTTTTCCGGAGATAGAGAATAGCCTTGGGTGATTCGACTTTCACAAATTTTGCTACAGGGTTGTTTTCGAGGCTTCTACCACTTGTTTGAAGGAAATAGCTCTATGAAAAATCTTGTGCCACGCCTTATTTGACCTCTTAACAGAAAAACGAGTTTCATCAAGTTTCCAGTATATGGGTGCTGGTTGAACATACAGGCTTGCCTTGAGGGGGCGTACCGCCTTATACAGTCGTTCTGGTACAGCACCAAGCATG